AATACCTGCCTGTTGTTTGAATTGTTTGTTTATTTGTAAATTATGGTGGATTAGATTTGCCGTTTTGATTTGTTTGATGCTAATTCAAAACGACCGTTTACACATCTGCATAATGCAAAGTTACAGAGTTAACGCATGTGCAATTTATTCTTGGCTGTTTCTTTGTTGAATGTTATAAATATTTAAATCGAATAATTAGAATTATAGCTTCAATTTAGCAATTCAGCGTTTTAATTAAACAGAATGTGGATTTAAGTGCAAATGAGTAATAATTGATTTTCATTAATTAAAATATGCCTTTAATCGGCAAGTATTAAAACATTATGGCTGCTTTCAATTTCAAAAGCACTCGTGCATATTTTCCAGTATATTGCGCCTATATTAATGGTGACATTTATTGTTTATTTCACTGTTTACGCGCTCCGTGGCCGAGGTCGTGTGAACAATAAAAAAAGTGCTACGAGTGCATTTTATAAATGATAACTCATTAGTCTATATTGAGGAATGTAAGAATACTGATTGGTATCAATCAATATCCAGTTTATACTTCATTATAACGCATTTACTTAGACGGAATGAGAATAAATTATATTAATTATTGTTGTTTGTAATAAGAAATCTGAAAATTGAATTTTAATCCCACAATTATTATAATCTTTATTCGTAATATTGTGATAATGTGACTGTGGCACATATTTGATATCAAAGCATAATTTCCACTGTGAAATATATTAACTTTATTTTATGATTATTTTGGTTTTAATGGGATGTACGGAACCATGAAAATATCAATTTAATTAAACGTGCCCCTGCAATTTGTAGAAATGATTTTAATTTAGTTTGCACCCAGTCCTGCTTCATTTTGTCGTTCACATCTGATGCAGCACAAATTGGATTTCACACTTTGCCACCTCAGCTTTAACACTTTCCGCGTCGATTAGCGTTTTCTCATCCTCTTATTGATTTGTTCATACGGCACTTTTTCGAGCACTTACTTCGTTATTGCCTTTGCACATTATTCTCAGCTCTTTGCCGCATCAAGCAATTGGTTCTGGTATTGTTTGTGATAATTGAATATTATTACATTCTCCCGAGTTGACTTAATTAAACATTTATATACCTTGGGCGGAAATTTAGAAATATATCGAAATGTCGAATTAATTGAGTAAAGTAAAATTTGTAACGTCGTTTGTTATGTGTAGACGTGCGTAACATTAAAAGCGTCTCACCAGTACACTTTTGACTGTTCTTCCCGCACCAAAAATGTTGGACTAATTGGCAATTTCCGATAGGCGCGTCTAATAAGTTACGCGTCCAGGCGAAGGGTTGCTAATGGGGTCACTCACTCGTCTCACGTGAAGCGCACTACCGTAGTGTCCGCCGAGAGCAGCCAAAGAAAGAGTGCGAGCCAACAACATGGCAGAAACTGGCCTCTTCATTTGGTTCAAAGTTCACGCGCAGCGAGACACTAGTAAATCATGTGCGACCTATTTATCGAGTTCTTTTGTTCTCTGCCCTTGCCAAGAGAGCCCTGAGCCACTGCATGATTATGCAACGCATGCAATAAATTTACTCGTGACAATGCATGAATTGGGTTACGTACCTTTTACCCATGTCAGCAAGGGCGCGATTTTTTTTAATATCCACTAACGTGTTTCTTTTGTTTTAGGTAAGTGAAGCAACTTCTTCCCTTCCATCGGCTTGCGAATCGATTTGACGCCTAGAGGGACGACGCCGAAACATTGATTTCGCGCATACCGTCGTCGGCAATCATTTCCCCATACCTGTGCGCCTGTTTTTGCGCGCGTGGGCCAACCTTAAGTTTGCTGTAGACGCGCAGGATGAAATTCCTCAAGAACAGTAAGTGCTTTTCTAACGTTTTTTTCCTTTCTTTTATTTTTTCCCGGCCGTCGTAAAAAGCGGCGAAAATGTTGTGCAAACAAACTCCAGCACCACGTCGGTACGTACTCTCCTGGGGAAAGCGGAGTACACCTACTTGCATGTCAAATGGGAGACGTACGGATTCAATTCAAGGCATGATTTGCTGCCAAGCCGTTTGTTCACAAAGTCCTTAAATATACACATTCATATATTTTGTGTGAAAATACACGCTCGATGTTATTTATTTAGGATTCCGGAAAGCACAGTTCCACTGTGCGTTCAAGCCGAAATCTTAAACTCGTGAATAATTTGTTTAACTTTGGACATATATCCGTCAATACTCCGAACATGTTATTGTAGGACGTTATTTTCCAGTTGGATATTAAAGAGGAGAATACAGACTAAAATGTAACAGTGGAAACATTTGTGCGCGGGAAGAGGCGCATGCGAAAAGTTTCGAAAGTCAAACAGCTTCATTTGGTATTCCTTCTATGTATGTTCGTAATTCCGGCATACTAAATGCAACACGACGTGCACCGGAAGTACTCGCTCTTCCCTGAGATTTACTCGCAAGTGCCAGCATTTCAAATCAAACTTTTACATACATTTTCCGCCGGCGCTAGCAAAAATGAAATTCTGACAAATGTTCCATATTAAAAAAGTTATTTCTTTTATTATTATTATTTGCCTTCATTGGCCGCACACGCACGAATATAACCCTTCGGAATTCGCTTTTCTCGCAAGTTTCTTCCTCGCCGCCTCCTCATCACCGGGATCCTCCTCTATTTGATATTCCACGGACGCGCGGTCGTGGAGCATGGCGCATTCCATTTTCACGCTCTTAATTCAATTTGCCGTCCGTCCTCGGAGTCCTTTTCTTCCCGGAGTCCTTTCTTTCATGCGCACCAAACGCGACGCCTGCCGCCATCGCTAACAGACAAGAGCTTTACTCGACTTCGGCTCTAAGTGAATCTGTGTACATAAGAATGGCTATAAATTTCCGGAAACTTTAGACTTTTTAATGAAACACTAGATGCCGTGGGTTTAAGAAATATTATATAATTCTAAAAGTTCTTCGAGCGTCCGAGCTTTTTGTACTTCTGTGCTAATAGAGGTCGGGGAGTCTGCGTTTCTCAGATTGAGGCGATAAATCCTTCGGAAGTTTCGATTTCGTTTTAAATGATTGCACGCATTAAATGACGGGCTGGAAACTTTAATTTGCTCTTCTTCGCCGAAGAAAAAATACTATATATTTAAATCTTATTTGTTTTCTTAGTATTATTTTCGCCTGTCTACCAGTTGTATTTCGTACCCTTAGAATAAACAACTTCGAACATTGAAATGCAATTTGTAGCTTACAAAATTCACACTTTCAAAATGGAAATATCCGCTGAAGAAAGTTGAAAATTCAATTTGCATTAACCGAATAACAATCACATAATAAACTCGGTTTTGTTATCGCATATTTCATACAAACCAATCTGTGAGCATAGATATAATTCCGACTGAAAACTTTGGTTTTTCTTTGTGGCTGATGAAAGGATGTGTCTTCACAAAAAATGCATTATGAACTAAGGGGAAGAAATAACTCGTTTATCGTAGCTTATTGTTTTATTTATTGGATGTGATAATTCATTGAAAGCAAATACGATGATAAGCAGTAGAACAATTTAATAAGTTTGTGGATGATGGAGAAGTTTCCTCAGAAGTAACTGACTTGGATAAAAAGTTGTCAACAACGATATTTTATTTAATGCTTAAATCAGATTTTCTTGGAAATTTAACGTTGATACTTTTAAAACTTTATTTGTGCTTATTATCTCTTCTTGGGTAACTGCTATTGGCCATGTTTGTCTCTCATCTTATTATGGTGTATATTTCATATAAGCTACTTCAAACATTTGCATTTTGGTTCATGTCGTGTAAAAAGTAAATATGAGGAACATACAGATACATGTAGATTTCGTGTAGCTTGTATAACGATGTTAAATTACAATACAATTATGAGTAACGCATTTAATATTTAAAAAAGGTTACCAACCTGTTTTTCCGTTTTGCAGTTAGTGTTACTGGGGAATTATGAAATTTTAGGTTGTCCGTATTGATTTACTTAGATCATAAACATTTTATATAGTAATTAACATTTCACCACATTCTGTATAATAAAACGAGCGACCCTACTTTGTTGACACGGGTAGGGCATCAAAAAATCTAGTCAAGAGCTTTGACCTTTTCCCTTTTATTCAGCTTTATTTACCATTAGCATTTACGAGTAAAAATAATGCTACAAATTTTCAAAAATGTCAGAAAGTGGATGAACGGACGTTATGGATTTTATTTATTAATCGGGATTTTATATATTTTAGCTATGACAACGCAATTTCATCATAAATCTAATAAATGATACCATCAACGAACTTTTTTAAAATTTACAGGAACTCTTATAACTTTTGAATTTGAAGAATATGTATTAAGTCAATTATTTTGCATATGGCCTAAGATAAGTATTATAATAAAACCGATGCGTCATCTTGGATAATATCAGAAATAGATTTCCTTCTATTTTGTTCGGAACATAAACTTAACTGATGTCCACGTCTTCCTTCGACCCGTTACGTCCGATTCCCATGAATAGCAAACCTCTATCATTTCCGTATTTATGTATTTATATACATATTGCGACATCAGTGACATGCCACAACGATTACGTGTTTGCGCTGCTAAAAAAAGCTAAAAGCTTTCGGTTTTCTTAGAGGGCAAATCGTCTTCGTGGCTTTATTACCACACACATGCAGTGTGCACTGTGCACTGAGACTCAAATAAAGCACATTAAGTAAATTGAAGTATTAAGGCATCGAAAACAAACGTCCACTTGCATTTTGCTGTGAGATTTGAGATTTCTTTGCGCACGACATGCTCGAGATGTAATGATAGCAAAAGGACGAATATTATGCCAGCGCCAAGCTAGTACACGCATTAATGATTTCCTGTTGACAACCCTGATGACGGGAGTGCGCAACAAGATGCATGAAATCGTGACGTCTCATTATCCACGAATATAATGACAAATGATAATCAGCATCGCGTTAATGTAAAAGATGTGATGATGATGAGTGAAGGTTGGGATTAATTAGAATAACTAACATTACACTTATTAAGCCATCTACAGGATGGTCAGGATAGAAATACATTTGAGGTTAGGGCAGGTAAATACGTTTGGATGTACAAAAGGCACATAAAGAAGCTAATTAACCTTCGTTTATTTGCGTACGTATGAAATCATACGACATCGATTTTAATGTTACACCTTCAACTTCGACGTCATTGCTCGTGTGCTCTACACCAGGTCAGGCCAGACTGGGGCCGGGGCCCGACTGGTTAATTCGACGTTGAGTTCTCCAGTCGCCGGTTCGCTGGCGTCGGGCGCGTTGCACTCCTGCAGTCCTCCATATACACATCGCGTCGACTTTGTTTCGTCGTCGTGCCCACGTTCACGAGCCGATCGGCAAGCACAGCAGGCGTGCACATCGGATGCACACACAATACTTTTGTGAACTCGTCAAGAACAGCCTTTGTATGCTATACGTAGTGTGTGCGTGTGTGAATTATGTGTAAGTTATGTGAATATATATGATATAAAATTTTTAAAAAAAGTGAGTACACCCAAACCACAGTCGCACGTGTTTTGTGTTTTATTGTCTAATGCGACAGCGACGAATTCTTCTTGATTTGATTACAACTAGCTTGCTGAAATTGAGAAAAATATTAGTATTATATAAAAATATCTCAGAAATATTAGCGTAGAATGTGTTAAATGTCTTGTAAAGTTTATCAAACGAAGTTTGTACACTCAAATGCAATTAGTTGGTTTAGTCTTGCTGAAATTGTTTTCAGTTTCTTGACATTCCCGGTCTGGTGCGTCTTCATTATTTGCATGTATCTCCTACTGCAGTCGAGTGCATCCTTGTTTGGAATGACTGACTCAACGTGAAACCATTGCACGTAAAATTATTAACATTTGAGGCACGATTTTTACGCGGACGTTTCAGCTTCGCTTAACTTCGTAACTTGACAAGCGGTGACTTCTTTTCATTTCGTTTCATTTTCTTACCCATTCTTCTGGTAATAGGTTCACAGGAAGACGCTGTTATTCCACCTGTAATTTATTTTCGAATTTCTATTTTTTTGATAGCTGTATGAAGTCCAAACGAGTCCCGCAAGATTCTTCTCTTATACTGTTCGTTTACTGTTCAATCTTTTATTGTTTTCTTTTTCGTCTTTTGATTTATTTATTTATTTTTTTACCTTTGAGTCCGTTTATACCGACTGCTAGTTGTGCTTCGCAGACGCAATGGTTACGAAGTTACGAGCTGCACGAGTTAATTTGATGGCTGACAAGAATGTCATGTAAAACACGTTCGAGATAACGTGGAGTTCATTTGCGTCGTGCTGCATAATATTTGCTCTTCGCGTCGAGGAAATTTCTGTAAAAGGAGAAAATTTCTATTATGCGTCATTTACATTTAGAATGTTTAATGTTTCCATAACAAATGTATCAGTTTGGTTTGCAATGGGAGTTACCCTTTTGCTTTCAGCTCCGCTGGCCGAAAGTCGCGATTTCAAATGTCATTCTGATATAAATCCAAATATGTTATGACATTTCGGTCTTTTTCATGAGTTTTCTATACTTTTCTGTATGTGTTGATGCAATTTATTTCATAACTTCTATTTATAGTGATTGTTTTAAACTTTGATCACTTGTTGCAAAGCATTACACAATATTTATTTACTGGTTATTATAAAGCATTTTGTTTACCAGCATTTGGACTTCACAGTCATCAGAAATTTTTAGAAAAATGATTCAATCCAATGTGTCACACTTGCTGATCTCAGCCAGCAGAATCTCAATTTATTGAATATTCGTTGGAATGTGTTGTGTCTGATTAATTACCTTTTTTATTTTGTGGCGGTTTTAGTTCCGAACACAATTGTTCGATTTATAGCAACCACATCAACTTAGGTAAAAGGCGTTTCAGTTTATGGCCAATTCTCTAATTAAACAATTTAAACCTGTTTTATTTATGACATTTCTGAAATTCAAGCTAGACTAGCTTCTATTGTTTTAAACTAGAATCAATTGAATTGAACTTGGTTTAACGCATTTCAAGCATGAATCAGCCACAAAAGCGTAATATTAAACTCGAATGAAAATTGAAACGGATAAGCACCAACCAGAGTGCATTGCGTTCTGCAGAAATTGTTAACTTTAAAGCCTCTTTCAGATAAGCGCAATTTTAATAACGACTTCGAGTCCATTTGCAGTTCATTTCCAAGTGCATTTCTTTGCTTAATTGTTCGCATTTATGATGATTTTATTACTTTATTGTGGGATATTAATATTAATGAACAATATTAACCTAGTTTTAAGTTTCTATTTCATTACCACTTTCTGTTTTGTATATTTTATAATGCTGCGGACGTCGCAAAAAGTGAATTTAATTTACTTACATTGTACGCAATTTAAAATTGAGTCTAATTAAGATTTATCTTAGAATCGTGCTCTTTGCACTGGCTTTGAGAATACTGCTACAATTATGTTTATTACAAATTTCCTTTTTAATGCACATTCTAGCAATTGCGAGAAACCTCGCCGCAGTTAGAAATTTAAGTCAACTAACTTTTGAAATTATGTATCTAACTATTTAAATAGGAGAGGCGTTAATGGGAAATTAGATATGTGAGTTCGTAATTAACATAAAATATAATTATGAATAATGTACTGTCAGACTATCGCTGATAATTGTCCAAAATTTAATCCAACGTAGGTTTAATGCAAAAAACACAAGACACAGCACTTAGTGTGTGATTTGTTATCAAACGATATTCAAAGTTATGCAAAACAGTCTGAAGACAATGCAATGAACCACGTGCCTACAAAAAGTTTTTTTTACCGCATTTTCTTGTTTTTAACGTTTCCTTCTTTATCATATAAAAAAAAAACGCAGAGAGAAATTAAAAGTGTCTTGTCTTGTAATTGTGTGTGCCATCCGCGGCGACAAAGCACACAAAAGCTCACGCGCATTATGTATATTTATGTGCGCGCACATGTTGTCTCATCAAATCGTTCACATTCGAGCCACAGTGCAGCGCCCAGTTCTGGAATAATAGTCGCGCAACGTATAATAAAGCAAACAATTGATCATTTAAAAAAAGAATAAAAGAAAGCACATGGAAATTTAAATGACGCCCAACAATGGTGAGGAAAAACGAAAAGTTTTTGGAGTGCGTAGGCTCGAGTCTCGACTATTAAGCATAAACACACTTTCGAAGGTTGTACACACGGAGCTTACATGTACGCGCGCATTGACGTTTGCGCGCCGGGCACATTGTTTTGTTTCACTCGCTAGCCAATTGTGTTTGCAATCGCACATGGCGTGTGTGTCCGCAATGTGTGAAGGGTTTATTTGTACGGGTTGCGCAGTTATTATTACCCGGCGTTATTGCGCTTACTCGAGTCAGTCGTTTTCAATCAAGGATAATACATTAAAATTGCCTGCATTAGCGTCTCCGGCAGATGTATACAGATTTCGCATGTCTATTTGTGTGGCTTAAGTTTTTGCAAGTCATATAAAATCTTTCATGTGTGACATGGCGTGAGTTGAAAAACAAACATTTTGAACTGATACCAATTAAAAAAAATAAATACAAAAATCTCATTTATCAACAAGTTTTTCTTAAAAATTTCCAAAAAGTCTAATTTTTATTACCGAAATAACTTTAATAAAATTCTTATCATAATTTTCGCAACCATTTGCAATATAAGACAGTATCAACTAGAAAGAAAGCCAACAGGTGGGCGAATACCTTATTTAACAAAACATATGCACATTGTTATATGCTGTCTTCGTTTCACTCTCGCGCTTGTTGGGCGAATTTCGTGCAGGCGCGTCTTGCTTCCGCGGTAATACGAAGTTGTGCACATGATATTACGTGGGTTCGGGAATATATCGTACCACTCACATCTTTTGCCCAAGCGGCCATGTGCTGCTCTCAGCAGAGCAGCAATACTCATACGTTTAAGGTCGGTCGCGACGTGCACACAACACCCAGCCTCCGGACTCTTCACTCGCGTCGCCCCGACTCTTTGGCAAATTTGTCGAACTTCCAAGAATCGAGAGCTCGCGCGCGCCTCTCGTGCCGGCAAGTGCATAAGCGCATGAACACTTGCTAACGATTTGCCTAGTTCTGTGCCGACCAAGCCGAAAGTTTACAAAAGTGCAATACGAAGTTGAAGAATAACTAGTTAAAAATGATGTGATAATAGTTAAAGTTTATAACTTTGTTTAAAAATGTGTGCTATAAATATATTAAGAAATTTATGAATGGTAATTGTAATTTTGATCTCTTTAAGAAGTTACTTGAACGCTATGCTATTTATAAATACCACTTTCAAGAAATTGAAACTTAATACGCTCGACGTTTTTTTTAACATAATCATTCACTACATGTAGATGTCTTTCACTGACGTAGCCTGTGATTGTGGAAATGACATTAGCACTAATCTATGGCTAGGCAAACGAATTCAATGTGGAAGTTTACGGCGAAGAACTTAACGCGCATGAAATAGATGCTTCTTCTTGTAGTTGCTTCCAGTGGCCTTCTAAAAATACGTTTATCGAGTCGGCGACGTCATAAACGCCATGCATCATGTAATATGAACGTGTTCGAAGATGCAAAGACGCATCAAAACGGTATGCGAACTCATTTCCAGCCATCGCCAATTTGTAACTGTTTGACTAATTAACGTTATTACACTGACATCAAACATAAAAAGCATCTCACAAACTATTGAATAATCTAACCGAGATAAAAACTTGAAATTTATGAGTATTACAAGGATTTTAGTAAAGAGATTAGTATGAAACATAAATGTAAATGAAGTAAAGTATACAAAATTATAGCGTCATAAGTTGTCCATCTTAAGTACCTTTATTATCTTATTATTTATATTATGTGATGTGTTTGATACGATTTCCGCGTGGAATTAGATATTTCGTGTGTGTGTGGTGCATTTTGATATTTATTATAATGAGATTTCGCGCGGAAAAGCTAATAGGCGTCTGGAAACCAATTATAGATCAAAAGAATGAAAGACGAAGCACTTATTTACCTTGGGCGCGATGATATCTCACCGTAACGCAATTTTCTCAACGGTTATTTATATAAGTGAGCACGGTTATGAATTACACACGCACACTATTTTCGTGGAGACTGCACCTAGAGCCGGAGATTAGAGCGACGAGACGAAATGAGACATTTTGTCAAAGCGTTTCCTGTTTCTGCGTGCCTTTGAGATTCTGTTTGCGCGTTCCAGGCAACCATGGAAAACACGCGCGTCAACATTAGAATGCGTTTTTCTCGCGTTGTTGCCGGCGTCTACTATAAGACCAATCAAAATATGTGCTGGGGATTTTGGGCATGCGGCGAACATGAGATGGAATCTTGAAATCTAGCGCCAGCCAGACATGCGTCGCATGTGAGTGTGTGTACACGTTTTATTAGGTTTGTTTGCCCGGCGAGATTACTGAACCCGATAATTTACATTTTATCGATCGGGGATCGCATTGCCGTCGATTGTAGACCATCGATAGATCAGTTACATTACAAGGCGAGAATGGAAGCCCCCGGTTGTTATGACATAGTAAACGTAACGATGCGTACACGCATCGCGGCACATCGTTACAAAATCCATATTTATTTATCCACGTGGTATCTATTGAGATTAACTCTGGAGCTGTGTAAATAACACCCAAGAAATTCGAGACTCTCATGTTTGCTGGACGCTTTTAAGTCGATGCCAGTGAATGTTCGTTTAATGCAGGCAATTTCACTGAAAATCACACTAGATCATTTTGTAATTTACACTTTGGTATTATTTGGCATGACTAGGTCACAATTAATGTTTACGTACAGTTTGATAAAGGCATATATTAATAGCAGTAGGCAGGTGCCCTGCCCTAAAATAACCAGGAGTCAATATATTTGATGCAGTATGGTGCAGGATGGTGGTTAACCGTAGGAAGTGAAACTCCAACCCCATTATTATAATGTAAAGAGTATAGGTTGGTTATTGGAGTGCGTGCAGTGGTTTTATTCAGATTTTTTCTAATTACACGAGGGTCTAAAACTCATGCGTTAAACTTGTCTACATAAAGTGGTTGATTAATAATTACTACTTTTTACTCGCCGCTAAACTCTAAACTATATAATTGGGGAGACTAGGAAGCTTCGGTTATATTTTGGTGCGTTACTACTATGAATCATACAGAAGTCATTTTTATTTTATTATTGATAAATTTACACTATTTTCTTAATTTTTTATACCATTCTGGTCATTGTAGGCCTAGACTATTTCTGGGATTTGCGTGACTAAGGTATTACTGGATATTTCCAAATGTACAAACTTTTAGTTTTCTTTCGTTCG